TGGCACGTCATTTAAGCTCTATTCACAGTAATATGTAAAGGAGTCGCTCCTCTCTGCCTCCATTCTCACTAACAAAGGTTTCCCTCAGTGGAGTGTCAGTGGGTTCAGTCGTACGGCTGAGAACAATACATGCTGTTGTACAAGTTTCTGTGTGTGTGTGAGTGTGTGTGAGAGTGTGGCGCTCTGACAGATAACCAGACCTCCCCCGTAGCTACTGTCCTTAAAGGAGGCTGGGGCCTGTGAGCCATCAGACGTCTGAGAGTAAATTCCAGGTTGTAAATCCCCACGTTCTCCATTCAGTGCAGACAGAGACAGTTTGTGTGTAGGAGGCTTAACGCTGCTCGATGCGCAGGTTGAGGTGCAGCACACCGTGACACACGAGGAGAGTTAGCGTGCGCCTAACATGTGCTGGAATAACTTTGACCGTGTTTGACTTTAACTGTCGCAGTTATTGATTGAAATACCATTAAGCTGCAAGATATGCAGCTGAAAAAATTGGCAGATGGTCATATGTATGCTAATGTTTTCTATTTGGACTGCGCTACAAGGCTGGGCTGAAATTCTGAGATGTGTTTTTATGACATATGATATTCAGCATTAAGATTAAAGGTGTTTGTCACCTCATTACTCCAGACCACGACGTAGCTGTAGCTCTGTGTAGGCTTTGCTGTCGAAACATGTTCAACCATAACCAATAATGACACGTTTCCGCTGGTGCATCAAGGCACCAGAGCCAAAAGACACAGGCAACATCTGACGCCAACTAGTGTAAAAGCACATTATTCCAGTCCTAATACATACTCCCCATGGTTCCCAGCTCTCTTTGGGAACCTAACTGCAAGTGTTAGGCATTCTACCAGAGTCATTTAGGTATGCAAAGACATAAACGCACAGATAGGCTTCTGAATTTTTTCTTATAGGGTGATTATTGGCCCCAATGATCACAGCTATCCTCCACTGCAACTCTGCAGCACATGACCAGAATGAAAACTGCGAGGGGGAAAATTTGATTGATGGAAACCTGATGTTTGACATAACCAGCTTAACAAATAAACATTTTCTGCACTTTAATTGGGCGGATTAAACAGCTTACATGTCATTCATATCAATGAAACCTGTTCAGGAGCACAGTTTCCTATAATTTTTTCCCTGATGTATTTGTAACTCGGCTCTTGCAGCAGTTGTTGTTGCCATTTCCTCCAAATTGCTCCTCATAGAAATGGGCTGATTTCGAGCATCCCATAACGCAGCGGAATCAATATGAGTGACACCTTAGACACTTCCGAGGAATGAGATATAACCATCCACCTGTGTTTCTGCGGCACATGCTGCCGCACTTATGAAATGATAAGCTCTGTACTGTACCAGGAGAATCATTTATGGAAAGCATTAAGGAGCGCTCACACCCCCAAACTAAATCACAATCTCATCGACTGCGCCCACCTCGAATTATGACCCTATCAGCACAAAACAAAGTAATGAATGTGATTCTCTGAGCTCGTGCACCAGATAATGTGTGATGAGAACGCCTGCGCACATGAATTCGGCTACTACAGGAATCAATATGCGCTCTCCTTCCTGGAACAAATTAGATATCCAAGCTGCAATAAAAGAGCGAGAGGCGTCCTATCACTCTTATTCACTCCCCGTATTAATGACATAAGTTTGACAGCAGGCCTGCTTAATCTGCCTCTGAGTCTGCGTTTGTTTTTGGACCGTTGATGTGAAGATTTCTGGGTAGCTTGTGATTGGCAAGATGAGCTGATTTTGATTGATTTATTTATTTATTTGTCATGTGTTTTTGCATGTTGTTGGATGAATAAGCGCATTTGTGGGTGGTAAACTCGATCATAAACATATTGGATGTCGTCTCATCTCTTCTACCAATTAAGCTGCCATAGTTGACGAGGAAGAACAAGAGGGATTACGGGTAGGCGGCAGGGAGACGGTGGGCGATGATGGGATGTCAGACCGACAGTTTCGGCTGACAACCGTGTGACTTTAAAAGTCCTTGCTCTGACACTGAGATGGTCCCACAGGGTAAATGTTTTTGCGCGTGTGCACACACACACACACACACACACACACACACACACACACACACACACACACACAGACACGCAGTCGTGTTGGCTCAGGTAGAGCTACCTGCCAGTGCTGTCATGCAGTGTGTACACAAGACCCGGATGCAGCTGACAGCCCTCTGAAAGAATCCAAAGAGGAGTAATTATAAACACACATAGTCCAGTGTAAATATACTAAAAAAAACAAGACCGGTAGTGCATACACACACACACAGGCACGCACGCACACACCTGGTGCTGCTAGCCAGTTGATGACAGGCCTTTTGTCTTTCATTCGAACCCCCGCCAGCAGCATGAACCCCTCTCAGCTGCCAGAGCTGATAGCATTGCTCAGCTATTTGTCTTCATGGTGCCAAAGCAGACATCAAAGGCTGCACAAAATGCCTGTTTCAGGGCAGCTGCTGTGTTGGGTGATCAGTGTGGGGGCATGTAAGTGAAGGCTAAATAAACTAGGAAGTGCATATATATAGAAAAGCAGGGTAATCTGCATATGGAGCTACATTTAACAATGTAAAGTTGCATTAGGAAGCACTTTTGGTCAAATCAAATGAGGCTGCTCACCAGCAGAGGCCCAAAAATGTCTTATTAGAAGTAGTATTAGTGGTAGTTTTTTGAGTTTTTTTAGAAGAAAGTTTATCATGGATTGTCTTATTTGTCTTTATTCTTAAAAAGTATCTAGTTTTCCCTTAACTTTTGATCAGTTCCAAAATTTCCCTTTGCTGAGTTTAGTGTCATTTATTTTGCCGTAACTTTTAGGCCTTTAAAATGTACTTTTTTAAGCTCTGCCCTACTGTATGCAGTAAAAAAACGATCTATAAATAAAACAAATAAGCAAAGTGGATCCAACAAGTCTTCCAACTATTTGTTCTTAGTGTTATTTAAGTCCATAAAATCATTAAATTCTACCCAGTTTAATTTAATATAAAATACACCAGTTGATTGCAGCAGTCACCTCAGGGTGCAACAATATTGAAGAGAGAAACCCAATAACCATGACAGTTCCTTGTGGGCAGCACTTGATAATGATGGGAAAGAACAGAAACCTGCAGAACCGGGCTCAGGAGAGGGGCATCCATGTTCCATGACCGGAGAAGAGTGAAAAGAGGGAAGTGGAGAAGAAATAATCATGGCATCATCATCATGGCGATCACCCAGTAGCCTGGGCCTATCACAGCTTAACTAAAGTTGTGTCTACACAGGAAGCCACTAGCAGTGATTTGGCGACCAGAGGCTAGCAATTCAGTGACTGCAGGTGAAATTACAGCTGTCTCTGTGAAAAAGGCAGTGTGAAATCCTCAGTTAAACAGGGCTTAAATGTAAGGCAAGCAATGGAAGTGACCATTCATCAGACTATAGGATACGGTTAATTGACAGATGACAGGATAGTAAATAATTAGAGGGTTGCTAAGCAACACAAACCTGGAATTTGCACCAGTAACCAGCCATCAGTGACAAACTGCAATGAACAATAATAATTTAAAATGTAACCTATGAGCAGCTCTCACAGATGTCTTTTCTGTGCAGGATCATCTGCTGATCCTTTTCTGTTCATCAGCAGTTTCTTAGTTGTAGTTCTCATTAATTAGTCCTTCGTTTAGAAGCCGAGATACCGTGACGGCTTTAAAAAGTTCACCTATAATTTATGCAGTTTAAAATCTTCTGATGTGTTTTACAATGACCCGTGTGGAAGGTTTGTTTTGATCTCAGCAGTCCAAATGAAACAGTGGAGCATGTTATAGATTTGCATCTTGGTTGGCGTGTGTCCGCCTTGGAGGAGGCTCTCTGGGCTGGCACTGACTCTGGTGTTAATGCGTAACTTCTGATTGGGGAATCATGCTGCTGGCCTTATCTGAGTGTTACATTACTTCTGGCTGACGGAGCTGACTAAAAGCTCCTGAGAATCAGATTACTGCATGCCAGCAGGGAAGGACCAAGGTACAGTAAAGTGGCAGTAAAATAGCAGGAACAGTGGTGGAAATTGAATTCAGTTCAGACACAGTCAAATGGGCTGTGTTTCTTTTTTACTGTATAACTTTACAGGAATAGGAGTCTCTGTCTTAGTCTCTGTCTTAGTGTACCCTGACTCTTGCCTCTTTGTCAGCATGCTTCAGTTCTACGAGACCCTGAGAAGGATGAGCATTTACGAAACAGGACTCAGTTTTAAGTTGCATTAATGCATGACTCCTAAATAAGTGGCTGTATATAAACTGTGTACAAACAAATGCACTTCCCTCAACCTGGTTTAGTACTTCTTTTAGTTTTAAAATTATCAGCAGAACTTAGTGATCTGCCTTCAAGACTCTTTTGCCTACATATCCTGTACAGTACTGTGATGTTGCAGTTCGGTACATAGGGTATGTAGTTTAAAACTGTAATAATATGCCTGCTAGAACAGCTTGTATAAACTAAGTTGGGGTTTTTTAAACTTGACTTGACTTGAAGGTTAAGAAGCATACAACAGCAGATACCAACTATATTCATCAAGCAAGCTGAGGTAACGCTTCACTGTAACGTAGCTACTGTACGAATTTAGCAAAAACTGCTTTGCGATGTTAGCAGAGAGGATCGGTTGAAAACTGTAAGCTGGGCAATTTATAAAGTTAGTCCCAGAAGTTTATATAAGGAACTCCAGTCGTTCATTGGATACTGTTTGGCTCCAGCTTGTGATAAAGTTTTTCTTGAGATTTAGTTATTGTGACAATAGCAAAATCTCAAAAGTTGGTCCATCTCCTTTTAATTCAACTCCCAAAACCCATTTCTAGAACAAAAGTGCCATCCACTCATCTTTTCATTTTTCTGTTGTGGCTGTGCTATAGTGAAGAAGGCACAGCTGGGGATTGAGCCTCCTCCTCTCTTTCTCCTTTATACTTCTTTTTTTCATGGTGACCATGTCGCTGCTCTTTGTGTCCTCTTCAGAGTGTCATCCCTCCTGCTGGCAGTGTGCTGGGCCATCTGCAGACAACTGTACGTCCTGTCCCTCCCCGTCCAGCCTGTACGAAGGCCGCTGTGTCCCCACATGCCCACAAGGCTTCCTTATTCAGGACAACCAATGCCAAGGTGAGAGCACATACACACACACATATCTGCTTTTGTACTATTGAGTCACACTCAGTGTCATAGTATTGCTTAGCCTAAATTCTAACCTTAACAGTAAAACACACAAAAAAAAAGTCTTTACTTTGCAAAAATGGTCTCAAGGTTAACTGCTCCTTAAAAAAGGAAGTGAAACAATGGCAAACGTGTGGCAAATCCATCTTTGTTCTAGGCCTTTATTCTTGATTCACTCACCTGTTTCATGATTTCCTTTATTTGCCGGTGTTTAAAACCCGAGACTGAGAAAAGAGATGGGTGCTGGTTCTCACGACCACATCAACACAAGGCTAATAACTAGTGTTTTATTCAGTATGACCCAAAAAAAATTACTCTCTTTGCATTTGACCCATTCACTCAGTGAAGCAGTGGGCAGCCACTAAGCAGGCACACCGGGGAGCAGTGTGTAGGGACGGTACCTTGCTCAGGGGTACCCGTTCAGTGGATTCGAACCCCCGACCTTCCGATCATGGGGTGACAATTCCACCTACTGAGCTATCCCTGCCCCAAAGGCACTGCTAGGATTCAAACCCAAGATCTCCTGTTTACTAGACAGGTGCTTTAACCAACTAAGCCACAGCACCACCGAAGCACAGGATCAAAGATTTATACAGCTAATAAGTTGTGATGGTTTTGCCTGTAAAGCCGAACTGGCAAGACTTACAGACATGTGAAAGAATAAAATAAAAAATTCATCATTTTTATCTTACATACACAGATTTATTTGGTTTTGTTAATATCCTGTAAGTATCCTATAAATATCCTAGCTGTGAAATGTATGCGAGTGCTACAGATAACTGTGATTTGGATGCATGTAGCTGTCTTGCAGAGCGGTAATCAGAATTTATTACTATATTTGTCCAAACTTTATATATCTGACCCATTAAATGACTCTCATTCCTCAGTGTGGCCCTTAGTGAACACATGTTAACCTTAGCTGGGCTCTTCTTCCCATCTATCCCCCGCCCCTCTGTGACTCGCCTACTTAATGAAAATCCATTTGCTCTAATCTCCAACTCATTACCTCAGCTCGGTGTATTGACTCTGACCTCATTTGAAACAAGATGACCCTTCCTATCTTCCATTTACCAGCTTTATTCTTTGGTCTTTTTTAAATGTGCTAAATTTTATTGTTTATCTTGAAAAAAAAAAAACAACAAGAAAAAAACTTTTTGAAGACCTCAGTGGATCACATATTTAAACCTGGCTTCAGTAATTGACCGATGAAGATGAATACCAAGACAGTTAAGAAGAGCGATGCACTCACATCGTCTGGGATTACACAATAAATGGGCTCTGCTTGCTGACTTGGCCTTATCTCCTTCAGTACTGACTGGCTCATTAGAAAGTACCCAGAAGAAGGATTGTGTTTCAGTGTAGATGAGAATAAACGTTTGCTACAAGTGGCGTTGGTGACTTTTAATGTGAGGCAATAAGAACGCTGTGTGTTGCTTAAATGCACCAAATGACGTGTAATGTGAAAGTTGTGGCTCATAACGACAAAGCCAGAAAGCATTAGCATCAACTCTGCAGTGCTTTATTCCATCAGCTCTGTCTCCATCTCCTGAAGCCAGCTGTTTGTTAAAAGCCAACAAGAAATTAAGCTCTGACAAACCTGCTGTACACCATCCACCCTGCACCATGCATGAGGCAAAATTAAAGAGTGGCTAATGAACAACCTACAAACTGTATATCAAGGATACACACCCTGTACCTCGTGGCCGGTCTGACTGAGTGAAAAAACAGAGGATATTGCCTGCTGAGCCGAGCCTGGCAGCAACCTGTCAGTCACAAAGTAGTTATGTCCCTGCTCTGCATGGCATCATAACATAAGAAATGAACACTATGCAGTATGCAGGAAGACTCCAAACCAAAGACTTCATTGTTTTTAGTGACCACCGGAGTGTTCCAACAGCACTAACACGTCCAAGCAGTCCAGTTGAACTGTGGTGTTGTGAGTTTCCATGCGCATATGTAGTATGTCATCACCTGTCTTTGTCCCCCTCTCTCTCAGCGTGCCATCCCTCCTGCCAGACCTGCTCCGGTCCCTCCCAGGCCGACTGCATCGCCTGCCCCCCGCTGGTGTCCCTGCAGAGTGGCCACTGCAGGGCAAACTGCCAAGAGGGGCATTTCCTTAATGCTATCTCTGGAGAGTGCGTCAGTAAGTCAGACTGTGTGTAAATGTGTGTGAGAGAGAGTACGGATGGTTTAATGCTCATTTATATGCCATTTGCGCAAAGCTTTCATCAAACACTCTGTTTTGTCACTCCGAGTGGCACCCATGGGAGTAGAACTACCAACCTTGGCAGGGAGAGTCCCTTGCTCTGCCCGCTTAGCTTTGCATGATCACACATAGAGACATACCAATTCCTGCGTGTCTGAAGCTCCAGTAATCTGCATTATTCATCAGAAATGCCAGTCATCTTTGTAAAATAGATGCTCTTAGAGTTGGTTTCACTTTCTACTTCAGGGTTTTTCCTGGCTTAGCTTAAGCCTTTGGCAGGGCGACTACACTCGTGAGTACATACAGTCAGGGCGATAGGTCTGTGTTGCATTACTGGGCAGAAATCTGTGCTTTTTAATGTTAATTACAACTATTTAGCTGAAGAAAAATGTCCATTATTCTGAGTAAATGAAATCTCATTTTTCCATACTGAGTTTTTGGGTAGCCACCAAAAACTCCTCGATGAAGTACTTGTACTGTATTTCACTCTGCAGGCTTCTAGATAATTTATCTTCAATATCCATGGGAACAGTTGGACATAAAGCAGGTTTTGTCCTTTTTTTCCCAGAACACTTATTTCAGATCTAAACACCCTATTGAAATTCTTACATCAGTTGTTATCATTTTTATACATATCACCTGTAAGCAGTATCCTCTATCGACTCTCTACTAGGGACAGCAGGCAGTTAAAGTATAAGCATAAAGTGGATGGAGGCATGGTGGAGGTTTCACTCACATACCATCCACTTAAGGATCCAATAATTAGATTTCATCAGTCTGATCAAATCACAAAAGTTACATTAGGTGAAAATGGGACAATCTTGTTGTTGTCAGCTCAGTTAATATTATCCTAATTGTGTGTGTGAGGACACCCACTCACTGAGTAGTGCACGGTTAGTTTTCAAGTTCGACTCCTTCGCACAGATCTGTGTTATCACTGGTTACAAAGGAAAACCTACAGACCCTGTTAGTTTCAGGCTGCAGTGATAGCAAGGGACTGACTGCAGCTAATAACATCTATTGACTGTGCTGAAAACCTCTGATGTTCAAAGAGACCTTTAGTATGAATAAAAAGACACTTATAATAGATTTTCCCTTATTTCCAGTTCCCTAAATGATGGGAATGTTGGCATTAAATTCATCAAACCTATAGACAAATAAAAATACCAGTTTCTCTGAAAGTGCATCAAAACTGATTTTTGTTGCTGATTAACTCCCCGGCATCAAATAATCAAACCTACTGACAGACTGAAACTGAAAAATCTGCAGGATTAATTCGATAATGTGAATTATAGCAGCTGCTCTAGTTAGCCAATCAGCTGTCTCGAAATAAACCACAAATGCAATAAAAAGGCTTTTATATGGTAGCTTGTTTTCACTGAGCTGACGGTTATCATGCATATAATATATTTTTGCATACATTTTCATCCCCATTTATCAAAAGAAACTGTGACAAATGGAACTAATAATCTTTTGCTGCACAGATGGAGGAAACGGCTGTAGTTTAGGTTATAATGCTTGCCTTTCACAATGTTAACTCTCCACATTGAAACATAATGCTTGGTCATAAAATGGTTTTTAAAAATTGCTCAGTGAACAAAATTCAGTATAAACTGTAATAGTGAATGGTCCTTACAAGCAGGTGTATTTGAGGAATTCTGTGTGAATCCACTATTATCATTCCTGATGCATCACTGCACTGAGGCCAAAGCACTGTGAGGTGTAATTGGCTTTGACAAAACAGCAAAATCTGATAGGAATGAAAACAAGCTGAGTTTTTAGAGACACATTTTTACACCAATGTGTAACAAATAAATCAAAATAAAAAAAATAATGGTGGCCATAACCTAAATCTGCAGAATAAAGTGAGTTAAAATAGGAGTTTAAAGTAGAGAAAAACACATTCCTAACTAGACCCTTCCCCTCCTACAAGTTACTGGATAAAAGTTTTTTATCATTAGTGTTTTAAAAAAAAAACTTTTAATGAGTTTGTGGCTCCCGGTTTCAGAGAAAAATCCATGGAGATAACGGTGAATTTTCATGAGATCTTTTCTCATAAACACCAGCTTACGCTTCACTTCCTCCCCACTCGTCTCCTTCATTGTCCCCAAAATACGCTGCTTGTCTTTAGCAGCAGATAAATAGAAAATGTAAGATTAGTTTGTGTGTGTGTGTCCTCTGATGTTGTCCTCCTTCTTCCTGGTTAATGAAATGAGTTTTTACCTATCTGGGCTGCAGGCTATAGATTATAAACAGGCATATTTACAAGATGAGAAGTCAGCATGGAGGAGATAGTGGAGGGGTAAACAAAATCTGAGGGGGAAAAAAATCGACTTTTAATTACAGTTTTTGATGACGCGCATTGTTTGGAGATGTAAAACGGCAACAAGATTTAGCCCCACTCGTACGTGCACGTGTGCGGACATGCACGGCTCGCTCATGTCCACACGCACATGTATGCAAACACACAAGAAAATAAACACGGTGAAACAGAGACACACACAACCTAATCTCAAATGGGTCAAGCTCAGCCAAACTCTAGTTAATAAAAGATGCCTTTTGGCACTTCTGGGCCACAGAAATACCGGGGTCATCATTTCTGCATAGTCAGGACACACACAAAAACATGCACACACACACGTACATACACACAACCTGCCCCTACGAGCTCTAATTCTTATACTCATAGCTTCCAAAAAACATTTCTACATTATTTCTTCTCTTTCTCACACGCACACACGGAGCCTCAGATTACCTCGGTCCATCCTGCGCTACCATCACTGTTACACAACTCCTTTGGGCAATTGAGGCTTTTCCTCTCAGTTGTGAGTTCACACGAGAGCAGCCATCAGACGGAGATGCCTCCTTTTATTCTCCTGCTGTCCGTCTCTCTCTGTCACACTCTGTTTCTCCTGGTCTGTGTTGGATCTTGAGGGTCTCTCCTTTCATCAGTATTCAAAAGCACAGAGAGTCCAGTCCCATACATATGCAGCTGTTCCTTCTAGATTTGCCAGATTTTGCAAGTTATTTGTGATGTTTTTGCAGAAATGTTCGCATCTGCTGGAGATACAGACCAACAGATTGTACCTGTAAAAATTACGTGTTTCTCCCAGTTTAACTCCTTTTAATTGACCAGTATTCAGTTACTTGTTACTCAGCTCTTTCTTTCAGTTACTTGTTTCAGTTACTGCTTTAACGTTTCCATGTGTGCGACTCAGACTCTGGCAAAAGTGACTCAGCCAAGATGGGTGCTAGGTAGGTAGGTTCTAGGTTCTTTATTATTTGTCACATGCATAGTTATACAAGTATAACACACAGTGAAATGTAGCCTGAGATGCTAAGGGTGCTAAGATACAGGTCTGTATTTCCCACTTATGCCAGTGGCCTCAGGTGCATGATGGGAGATAGTGATGAGTCAGGTGTGTGTAGAGATTAAGAGCATGTGGGTTTGGTTTTCTGAAAGTGACCTAAATCTGCAGTACAGCTGCACACTGTTAGAAGTGTTACTTTTAAACACTAAAGTACTGACAGCCAGCTTTGCCAGCATGAAACTACTGGGTAACCTAAGCTTTACAGTGTGTAAATGTAGGATATTCAATGCATATTTACTATTTTTCCCCTTTATTTATGCCAAAGTCAGACCAGGCACTATTTTTCCAGTCTCCTGGTGTCCGGTTTTGCTGAGCCTGTGTTAATTTTAGCCTTGTGTAGCACAGTTTTCTTTAAATCTACGTTCTATATGATGTCACAGAGAGAGGATATCCTAATATGGTCCTCTCAGGAACACAGGTTCACACTTAGATCTAGGCACCTGCTGTTCAAACCTTCAGTTTGCAAGGAGCAGCCAGTCAGAAGAAATTTGATGTAAAGCTACAAAATTATGTTTAACTTGACCTGTGAACCACTGAAGAAGGCAAATACAGTCTAAGAATGAAATATACAAAGTTGCAAATGAGCACAATAGATCTCCTGAAAGACTGTTGGTTCTTCATCTCAACATTTTAGTATAAAGATTAATGAACTCTGCAACAATCTGGAGCTCCGTAGACTTTTACTTCAGTCTCTGTTGTATCATAAAGATAATAAACAGATGGAATCGGCCAAATTCTTGCAAAGGGCTTGTTGTAGTTCCTCTCTATGAGAGTTCCCAACGGTACTTTCACTCTGGCCAGCCTGATACCTCTTGCTCTCTTGCCCTCTTCTCTTCTCTTCTCTCTCTCTCTTTCTTTTTTTTTTTTAAAGCTTGACTTTTAAAGTAAAGACAATCAGCTTCTGAGCCAGTGATGAAGAAAGATCTGAGTTTCAAATAAAGGAGTGTTTGTGGAACGCTTTCACTCAAAACTTACAGCTGCGAGAGTTTTTTTGCATCATGATTGTGCTGGAGCCGAACATGTGAGGTTTAAAATAGGCCTGCACACATGAATGCATCACCATAGAAACACAGCATGCCAACAATGAAATGAAAGACATGGGATCATGTTCTTTTTTTTTTTCTTTTCTGTTCTGCGTGGTCAACTGAGAATAAAATCCCTCCATGGAAACGCATTTAAGAAACGTTGGCGCCTACGGCAACAGATGCTGCGAATGTCTCTTTTCAAGCATCTGTCAAGTGCTGATGCTGAAGGCCAGCAGGAATACGAGCGGTTTAAAATGGGTTACTGCTGATTGTGTTGCTCAGTTTAGTTGAAATATAACTTTTTTCCCAGCTTTGAATGCACAACTGGCTTGTTTTTTTTATTATCATTTGCCATGTAGCACTTTCTCATTTCACGTATTGGTTACTTTTTTACCTTGAAACCAGTTAATCAGAGAAAATGGAGAAAATAGACAGGACTGAGTACTGTGTACTTGATTTTTAGCAGTGCAAACAGTCGAGGTGAGATTGTAGGAAGCAACATGGGAACTTACAGAGGTCTTTTTGAATATCTGCATTAGAA